TGTGCCAGCGTCGAAAATTTACAATAAAGTTTGTTCCTGTTTCCCAAAGAATATTTTCTATCAAATTAAGAGGGCTATTGCTCAGACACAGATTTCCTGTGACAATCATCATTGCGATCTTAGCATCCTAGTGTGCATCATAGTGGTGCAATGAACAAAGTGCTTCATAACTTGTCGAGCCTTGAAAAAGAATAGGAGGCGAAAGGAGACTTATCGCTTATACAAGCGAACATGATTATGAATCCGCGACGGATTTCGAAACGTCAGGCGAATAAACATATTGTCCCAGAGATCGAGTCGTCTTCTACTTCTCAGTAGACCCAACAAGCGTAGGGGTCTTATACTGGTGCTAGTTCGCGTACCTTAAGTGACACGTCGGAGAGTCACAGGAATGGAATCACGTGACTTGGGACAGATAGATGGCTTCACGTTCGCGACAACACGACATTTCAATCATCATTGTCGCCGATGATTATCGTGTGCTCCAACACAGAGTGCGCACAACACCGATGACTTGCGCTAGCCAGTAGACTTCTGCGACCCTCACCACACTCCCTCTTTCCTCAATAAACTGGGCCTTTATGTCCTGACAGAGTTAAGAAGATCGGCTGCTGGATCGGGCGCAGGTGTTTGGTGCAGCGCAAGTCCGCGCATAGGTGTGCCACTACATCCCCTCAGGTGTGGCATCCATAGGTGCGCATCTCAAATACTGCCTACCGTACCCTGATCTAACCCCGCGTTTGTTCAGCGCATCTATCGCGTAGCGCGTTCTACGGGAAACAACGGCAACCTCAGAAAGGACATTGATAATGATGGCGGCTCAATTCGTCACAAGTGAATCACGTGCGTTTGTGTTGGCGCGTAACTCAGCGGGATTCGTTACTCATTGTTGCCTGTCATTATTAGAACTATGCTCCAGTCTCCTCAAGTAGGAGCTATCCGTATGTTGCAGTCATAGGCGATGACTGAAGGAAAGCAAACTTTTACTTTCCTATATTACCTTACACCACAGACTTCATGGGTGGTTGTTTATTGTTGGGAGAACACCAGGAAATGAAAACTATATAAGTACTTCTAGTTGTTACTATAGAGCAGACGAGAAGTGGAGATAGGTCAAGCGCAGAAAGAGATCCTGCCGCAAACAACCCATCCCCCAAAGTGTGTTCGATAAGTAAACTGTCAGCTCGGAATGTGTGAAAGAATAGCAGGAGAAGAGTGTAGGAACCACCCACGTAATATAGTTGATCTTGCGCTAAATTCCAGGAAGAGTGTCTATCCCCACGTCGGCAATGAACTATAGAGGGGTGCTTCGAAGGCCAACATTTACAGTAACCGCTTACTTAAAAAATTTGAAGTAGGGGTAAATTTCCACAATCTTCCAATTTTTCGCGCGCCTGCCGTTGGTCCAGTAGGGATTGGTGATGATATTGAACTGTATAGGGGTTCTCGGTAGGCCAACATGTACAATAACCGCAGTTTATTAGGCAAACGGACTTTTCAAATTAATCATGGGAATAACCGCTTACTTACAAATTTTAAGCAGACTGAATTTCCACAATCTTCCAATTTTCGTTCGCCCACCGTTAATCCAGTTGGGGTTGGTGATGCTATCAAAAATGTAGTTCACTGACCTTGCCCAAGGTTAGCGGATACTCTCCAACATGCACGCGCTCGCCGTTGGTCCAGTAAGGGTTAATGATGATATTAAAATATACCTAAGTGACCTCGCCTGAGGTCAGCGAACAGCCCCCCCCAACTTACACGCGTAACTTTCTTGATTTACATGATTATTGCGCTCTGATTTGTTCCCCGATATGCCCCACCATTTTTACCTCCTAAAATCAGGTGCCCGCATTGGAGTGGAGCGCGCTTCGCGCGCACTGTGGGGACCCCACAATAGTTCCTTACCCCCACGTCCTAAGGTAAACTTACTCCCAACAGCAACCTTAACCCTAACTCTAACGCGTCTATAATTTAGCGTAAGGCCACCTGTATTATAAGGTTTCCTATCGAAAGGATTTTAAGTAATCCAGTAGTTTACCACGATTAAAACAAAAGTAAAAGATCACTAAATGTCCAGAATAACTTCTGTTCTAAGTAAAATACCGCCTCGCCAAACTGGTTCGATAGTTTCATTGTCAGATTGCATTCAGATATTGTATGAGTAGCTACTGGACCGAACTTAGCGAGCTATACAGTTTGCTCTAGGGTTGTTTAGGTAGAAGCTGAAAAATCGACGCTAATTAAACACCGATGGCTGTATTACTGAAGTCGTCGGTCCTAATGACATCAGAATTTACTTTTTCAGTTCCCCTTACGCTTTTAAAAAAAAGGTTTAAGAAATTGATCCTGATGAGTCCATTCGTATTCTGACGACTAGAATAGGGAGTTCAAAGGTATTTACCTATATTTCCCTCAATAAAACCTGACCTGACTTTAAAGTATGCTTTCAGCACCCTATGTTGACGGAAAAGGAAAACTTTTATCGAGGTCGATAAAATATATTCCATGAACCACAAGTATCCGAATAATAAAAATGCTCAAGAAAAGCCTTTAACTCTTGCTTCATCCCACCAATGTGTAACGAATCGGCCATTTCATTATCAAATTTCTTTCCTATATTCCCCTATGTCAATAATCAGATACGAGTGACGTCATTCGCCCAGTAGGAAAATTGTGGGTAAAAATATGGTTTTTTTTTCAAAAAGGTCGAGCAAAGAACATTTTGGCGCCGCATTAATGTTGGTGGAAAGAAGCGGATATCAGGCATGCATGTTAATGTTACACCCGAGTCATTAAGTAACGTGTACATAGAATTCTTCTCCGTATGATACACAAATATCACAAATTTATATGCTTGGGGAAGATCGACGACAGAAGGGGAAAATTAACAGAATTCTGTTCTGTACAGGGTGTTAGGCGGCTGGGGTAAGGGATGTATTCTGAAATTAAATGTTATTGGAAAAATTGAGCGGCAAGTGGCTAAGTGAAGCTTTAGTAGATTTGAAGTGGCCCTCAAGTACTTCCGCCTTTTTCAGGAGCATTTGTGAAACTCCTTTTATATACTCTAGGGCATCCTGCGTGACGTCTTGGTAGTGTTGGAAGTAGGAAATGTCATCCTGAAATGTAAAAGAGTGCATAAATTATCAAGAATAAAACATTTACTTAAATCAGTTATAGTAGGCCGATACTATTTCATAAAAGTTTTATTCTTACCTGTGTCAACGGACGCACATCTAGAAGGCGAGCAGTGGCTTCATTAAGAGTGGGACTGTATTTTGCTGCCGCAAAGTGGGCTGGCGGTGCCGATATGTCCTGCCTAGGGGTTTCAGAGAGGCTTGGCAGCTTCAAGGGGCCCTGTTTTCCATCCACCCTTAGTCGGTAGGCACTTTTAGAGAAGTCGGGAACAGCTGTCCGTTTCTCATGACAATCCAGGCCAGAGCGAGCGAACTCAAAGCTGCTCGATTTAGCGTTCCCATGGGGGGTGAGAACAGGGTTCTGATAGGGAGTGCTGTCTGCCGCACCACCCTCGCCACTTGTCCCATTTCCGTTTGTGGGAAACATGAGAGTCTGCATCGCTGCTGTACGGAGGGCTAGACTGAAGTCAGTGCCAA